AGGTAATTATCACCTGTTCAAGTTCAGGCAGGTAAGTCGGGTGTGGGCGGCGATGGGAGGCGCGAGGGCGGCGCTCCCGGGACTGTCCTGGGCGCTGGCGACGCAGGCAAGAAGGGGGGGGGTCATGCACGCGCACCCTTGCCCGCGCGCACGCACAGGCAGTCATGATCACATCCACTCACAGCAAACTCACTCACTCTCTCTCTCTCTCTCTCTCTCTCTCTCTCTCTCTCTCTCTCTCTCTCTCTCTCTCTCTCTCTCTCTCTCTCTCTCTCTCTCTATATATATATATATATATATATATATATATATTATATATATATATATATATATATATATATATAATATATATATATATATAATATATACACACACATATACATATACATACATATATATAATATATACGTATATATGTATGTATATATGTATGTGTATATATGTATATTATATATATATATATATATATATATATATATATATATTATATATATGTGTATATATATATATATATGTATATATATATATATGTGTGTGTATATTTATAGACACATTACCCATGCCCCCTCCCTCCTTCCATCCCTCCCTCTCCCTCTTCTTATCCCTCTCTCTGTCTCCTCTCCCCCTCTCGCAGCCACCCATCTCTGCGCGCAGGGATCAGGCATTGTCTCGCGAGCGAAGGCGATCCTTGTGAAATATTCCTCTTTTTACGGTCAGTTACTGCGGCTGGAACAGAGTCGCTCGGCGGGTTTGTTATTCGGGCGTCGCGCTTTCTCTCGGCCTCCGCCCGCGCTCACGCCGTCGCGGGGAGGGAGCCGAGGGGCGCATATGGGGAAATATATATATATACATATATAATATATATATATATATTATATATATTATTATATTATATATATATATATATTATATATATATATATATATATATATATATTATATATAGTTATATATATATATATATTTATTTATATATATATATATATATATATATATATATATATTTATATAGTTATATTTATATTTATGTATATAATATATATATATATATATATATATATATATATATATATATATATATATATAGAGAGAGAGAGAGAGAGAGAGAGAGAGAGAGAAGAGAGAGAGAGAGAGAAGAGAGAGAGAGACAGAGACAGAGACAGAGACAGAGACAGAGACAGAGACAGAGAGAAACAGACACAGACATACATACATACATACATATACATACATACGTACATGCATTCATAGATATACATACACACACACGTGTGTGTGTGTTGTGTGTGTGTGTGTGTATCAGTTTGTGTGTGTGTGTATGTATTATGCATGGGTGTATATAATATATATATATATATATATATATATATATATATATATATATATATATATATATATTACTGTGGATATATTTTTTCATAATATTACTGATTTACATACTGTGTGTGTCTGTGTAAGTATAGTTTTGTGTATATGTTTGTCTGTATGAGAGAGAGAGAGAGAAGATAGAGGGAGAGTTTCGTGTATACAGTATATACACGAACCGCACTCTTTGTCTTTGTCTTTCTCTCCTGCATTTCGCTCGCATTCACACGAACACACACACACACACACACACACACACACACACACACACACACACACACACACACACACACACCACACACACACACACACACACACACACACACGTACGTACGCACACACATGCACGCACGCACGCGCACACACCCCTACTCCCCCTCGCCTTAAGCACTGATAAACAATACACATCGATAAACAATTGACGTTGGAATTAGCAGTATAGTTACATGCCAGACGCAGCCCGGCCGTGGTAGACGTGGCAGCGCTACGCGGAGTAGAAGTGACAACTGCGCACTCAAGGCCTTGTGACTTGTCGTTGGGAAAGGCCCCGTCTACCGCTCTCGACTTCCACCGGTGATAAAACATCGACCTTTGTAGATAAATCGGTCTATTTTTACACTCGGGTGAGTATGGGCTGCCGAAGGCCCAATGCCGCGGCGCCCATGGGCCTCCGATTCCATGAATGCGCTGGGGGGGGGGCGGAGGCTCGGAACACGAGAGGCAAGTTTCCCTAGACGCAAACACTGATCGGCGGGATTGGGTGTGAACAGGTTTGGTCGAAGGCTGAGAACTTTTATTTGGGGGCCCGAGTGCGGTCATTAGGCGTTAGACAGGTAGGTCAGAGAGGCCAGGACTGAGACAGCACTGGGGAGACAGAGGGCCGACGGGGCAGGAGAGAGACATGGGGAGACAGAGGGCGACGGGCAGGAGAGACAGAGAGAGAGAGAGGGCCGAGATCTGCCGAGCCTTGGGGGAAGCCGTTGGGGCGTGAATCATTTCCTGGCGGGGAGGCCGTTCGAGGAAATGCCGGAGCCGCGATGCAGGACACGGCGCTGCGGCGGCGATCGTGCTTGCAAGAAGGGCGGGAGATGGGGGCGGCGGCGAGGAGGGAGGGAGGGAGGGAGGGAGGGAGGGAGGAGGAGGGACTCCCCGCCGTCGCTCCTCAGCCCCGGGGAAGGGGGGGGCTGGGCGGGCGGGGGGAAAAGGAAGGAACTAGTTCACTCTCAGGGAGCGAGGGGAGGGGCGAGGGGCGGAATGAGTGCAGCGAGAGAGATGGAAAGAAAGAGAAAAGAAGGCACGAGGGAGTTTCCAGCGTGCATGAGTGTTCGTGTGAGCTCGCGCGTGCGTGCGTTTGTGAGCGTGGGTGCAACAAAGTTCTAAATATCAATAACGGGTCATCAAGGTCAGGACGGCGCTCCCTTGTTTAGCGCCTTACCTACCCTACCCTTTTCGACCATGACCCCCCAGGCCCGCCCTGCCGTGCCTTCGCCCCCCCCCAACCCCCCTCAGCTGAGATCTCCTTCGGCGGGAAGGAAAGGGAACCTCCCGCTCCCTTCGGCTCACCTGCCAGGCCGTCGGCTCTAGGCAGCCCTTTGCTCCTCGCATCTGATCTGCCGCGGACTCTTCCGGATTCCGGTCTAGGAAGTCCGGTCGAGGAGGCGAGCGCGCGCGCAGTATTGACCAGGTGGCTGCCCCGAGGCGCCCCCGGGGGTCCTCGGAGAGAAAACGTCACCTGAGGGGCGAAATAGGACATTCTTAGCCACGGGGGCGACGGTGACGAGCGCGACGTCGCACGGGGGGCTCCCTCAGGAAGGGCCAGCGGCGGGGCAGGAGTGGAGAGCGAAGCTGACGTCGGGGCTTCTCTCGGATCTCCCGGTGATGTTCTTCGCCAACCCTGAGACTTGTCGATAAAGGCCGCGCGGGCAGGGACGCAGCGCGCGGAAGGTGAGCCGAATCGTGTGTCCAGCGCCCGGCGGCGTCCAGGTGCTTCGATCAGAGAATGCAATAAAGATCGGGCTGAAGCCAGACGCCGGGCGCGGCGGCCGCGATACTTCGCCATGAATCGTCGCGTCGTCTTGGGACCCGTGACGTCACGAGATGCGTTGTCCTTGGCGGCGCTCTTGGCATTCA